GGAGTGTTATTTGAAAATTACGTGTTTCACAGTTAACACACCTGTTACATTCTTCCCGCCATTAGAACCGTTTAACAGAGTATATCAATTAAATTTGTATTACATGTATATTGTGAGATAAACTAATCCTAGTTAACTCAGTATTCTGACTTAATTAAAGTCACCATACGTGGCATGAACTTAATGGGGGTATGAACTTAATGAGATTTAATGAGGGTAGAACTTTAATTAAAGTCACCATACGTGACATGAGCTTAATGAGCCTATTAACAGTAGCTTTAATATCAATATGTATTAGTGTTCAACAACATAAAATGAAAGTAAGCCAGGGTTATGTTAATATAGGCAACCTCAAAATTACGTCATCCTAGTAACCAGAGATAATGAGATCATAATTACCAGATAATTATATCGAAATTACGAGATAATGATATCATAATTACCAGATAATTATATCGAAATTACGAAATATTAGCTCGTAATATTTTCCCGGTTGATTTAGCCTTATAACCTTCCGCAATATTACACTTTGATGAATGGGGAAGGGGGGGAGCCGAATGGTTAGCACGTGCGCGCTGTATCATAACGCCTTTCACTGAGTCAACTGGCGTGGTTTCGAATCCCCGGTTGTACCTGACAAGGAGTAGGGTCACCTGTTCAACCTCGTGAGTTTTCTCCGGGTCCTCCGGTTTCCCCCCACTGCTAAAGACCCCCTCGCTCAAGCGAATTATTGAAATAAAATTAAACCATATGTTAGTCCCGAAATGGCCTAGTTTGTGTCGAGTGGACGTTAAACCCCATTTCTCCCTCTCACCCTTTGATGAAAGCATTTCAGTTTTATTTTGTTCGTATTGTATTAAAATCCACCGTCGACAATTTTTAAAATTTTCTCCTTGTTTTATCTAATTTCAGAAGACGTAGAATTAAAACTGCCGTGAATACTGATTCTGATCGAGTTATAAGAACTAATAAGACGGCCGATGCCTATGAAGAAATAACAAACTTCAGCGGCTATGAAACTGTAGTAGATCCAGAATTAAGGTCAACCCCGTCATCTGATAAACCAATCATAACAACTGTTACTGATCCCATACATAGGAAAGAAGCTGTCGCCACTGATCCTGTATATAGGGCAGCAGCTGTCATCACTGATCCTGTATATAGGCCAGAAGCTGTTACCACTGATCCTGTGTATAGGACAGACGCTCTCACCACTTATCCTGTATATAGAACAGAAGCTGTTACCACTGATCCTGTGCATAGGACAGAAGCTCTCACCACTGATCCTGGTAAACCATCTAATCCCAATACCCCAGTTTATCATATTTTACAACCAGATGAAGATGCGAAGCTATCACTTCACCACAAGTCAGCCTTTAAACCTGGTGATACATATGACCATATAGGAGTACAGAACCCAATGCGAAAAGATAAAAAACGATTGGAAACACTCGTCCCCATCAATCAATGCACAACACGGACAAGTTATGAAAATATTAAATTGGGGGACGACTGTAATATCAAAGATGACAGTACGTATAACCATTTGTATTCGGATTAGAACAACACTAAACCAGATGCTGGTGTAACAACCAACCTGGGCGATGACGATACATACGACCATTTGCATAACACACCAGCTCATGAAAAACCTGACGTAAGTCTTGATATCATGGAAGATACTTCTTCCACAAGACCTGATGCCATGAACGATAAATCTGTTAACGACACATATAACCATTTACACGACATATAAGACACGTGACGCAATATGTTTACATTACTTTGCATGTATAATCAATTGTTTTTATAAATATGGATATATTACGTTAACCTACTGACACATGCGAGTGCTAGTGTCTCTTAACTAATGTCTCTTTAATTGTATGCCTTCCATAAATTATTATTAGACAATTATTCGCTAAACGTCGACGTCGAGACTTCGTAAATTATCGCGATAATATTACTAAACATTCGAGACTAATTTGGCTGGGTTTTCTCGTCAAAACTTAAACATGTCGCCCAGAAAACAGACATATGGTTGCAATTATCGACATAATTTTTCAATCTCCAATTTTAAACAATTAGCAGTCATATTATAGTATAGAAGTATATTCATGTAATATAACAGCTTTATATAACACTATTGTATAATTTGGAAATAGTATAAAATGTAGTATAGACTTATACGTATTATTGTAATGTAACAGTTCTATATAACACTGCTGTATATTATAGTATCGACTTATATTAATGCAATATAATAGCTTTATATATCACTGTGTATAATATAGTATAGACTGATAACATCGTTGTACCTTTGTATTGAATCACTATTGTATAATTTAGTATAGACTGATAACATCTTTGTACCTTTATATTGATGCATTAGATATGTATATAAACATCACCTGTGTATTCTTTTTTACTGTTTGGCAACAGTAGCCATCTTTAAATTAAAATGACTAGTATTATATTCACATTGTTATCAATGGTAGGGCAGTCCAGGGTCCGGTTTCTCGAAATCTTAACTAAAGATAAAATTCAAATTTTAGTTGATACTTCAATTTTGATTGGCTAAGCACTAAAATCAATCTAATATCATCCAATCAAATTACTAAAATTTGGATTTTATCTTAGTTAAAATTTCGTGAAACAGGCCCCTGGTCTGTTATTCAATCAGGCTGGAAGCCATGTTGGCTCAATTAGTAAGGCGTTGATTTATTAACAATAAGTCTCGGGTATACTCAAGGGTACTTTTCGGATTGGTTTACCTTGGCAGCGGTGCAGAAAGGTGTGTAGTCGTTGGGTTGGGACAAAAACCCGATATGCCGTGAATCTGTTGGTATGCAGGTAACCTAACCACTAATAGTTGCAAGTCGACCAAGAACAGGGGGACACGCCACTGTCCAGGCTAATGTCAATCATCACATATTATATGGCATATGTCTGTCGTTTTTAGTATTTCTGGTGCATAAACCAGGGGTGTTGAACCCCGTTTCATTTCATTTGACGTGTGTAGATCCAGGGTATTACCATTCTATGAAGCAAAGAGTAGAGTTGTCAGCCTAGCCTCTTTAGTTTTATCACATTGGAAGTAGATTTTTAAAAAAAAAAATACCAGAACCGATGTTAATCCACTCTTCTCTCCTATCAAAGTTAATAAAATCCATCATACGGAACCCACGAAAACACTGATGATCAAAACAAAAACACATCTTAGGGATAAGGAAGAATGTAAGGCTCGAAGAAAATGCCGAGAAATATACTTGTGCCGCGTTTCACGTGTCCATGAAACATTTTTCTTTTCTTAATAACAATACACACACAGTCTTATTTAGTAATATAATTCCCATGCTTTATTTTATACTTCAATAACAGTATTGCTACTTTAAGAGTTCGGTAGCTGTTTTTGTGTTTCATCGTGACTGATGACTAATAATATCATCGGTTGCAATGGCACATACCATTAATTAAAACATTTTAAATTGAAGGTATTGGATTACCATAAAAAGACTTGTTGTTGATGCATATTTAGTCTGCTTGGAGTTACCCGCATTTGAAACCTAATGAAACTAAGTTATAATTTGTTCAAATAGGGAAGACTTCCCGGTTAGACACGAATATTTCACTTTTGGGTTTTTATGAAAACAACACAGGTTTAACGTCAAATGAATATGATACTTTTATTGTTCTTCAGACATATCAAATACAAAACGTCTTATAGTTAAAGACTCCGTAATGAGCTTGTGTTGGGGTTGTTTTAGTTTAAAGGATTGAATCACAATAGCTGATTGAATTTGTGTAATTAAATATATTTTTGTGTAAACAGTATCTGGGGTTGTAAGGGTTCAGGGTCTCGTAAATAAAATCCACTGGACATTTTGAGACTGAAAACAAATCGACACCTCTCAAGTTGTTGTCCCCCTCCTTTCGACTTAGGATAAGCAGGGATGGGCAATTTGATTGGTTGAGACCATGAGACACCATGACTTTGGTTCCAGCTAGATAGAACAAACCAATAATGGAAAATGACCATGAGTTTTAATTTTAAAATTTAATATATTTTCCAAAGTGTAGCCTTTTTTAACCTGAACATCAACTTAAGGGGCTCAGGTTAACCCCTTTACTGATGCATACCTAAATATGTGTTCTCACCTCACCCAGTGTCCCGGTGGATCATAGGTAGAGGTGCCACACCGTCCCCCTTTACTACGACTTATAAACCTATAACGGTAAATCTCTTTGATATTTGGGGTATATTCTATGCCAGGAATAACTTGCGGTCTGAACGTTGGAGACACATTTGAATATATACAGGGGAATTAGGGGTTATTCTGCTGAAAGTTTGTCTTTAAACCTGTAACGGGTTATTCTTCTTGGGTTGGGTTTTTTCAATAAGAAAACATGATATAAGGTTTTTCTGGGATATTCTCATTTTACGTACATGTAAACATAGACGGTTTATAAGCAAGATAAAGTGTCCGACTTCGGTTATGCTGAGGAAGAAAGACTTCAGAAAAAACCCTCGACAGAAAAAACGCGGCATCCCGGCTTCGGGTTTTCCTTTTCTCGGGTTATTTTTTTAAAGTCTTTCGTTCCCCAGCATAACCTCAGTGTCGTGCTTTATCCTACACATAATATATGCATAAGTTGTTTGAATGACGGCGGGGGGGGGGGGTGGATGGCCAAATGGTTAGCGCGTGCGCGTTGTATCATAAATCCTGCCATTAAGTCAACTGGCGTGGTTTCGATTCCCCGAATGTACGTGACAAGCAGTAGGATTGCCTACCAACCTTGTGGATTTTCTCCGGGTCCTCCGGTTTCCTCCCACTGCTACAGACCCCCTACCCGGAAGGGAATTATTGAAATAAAATTAAACCATGTTAGTCCCGAAATGATCTGGTTTGTGTCGATTGGACTTTAAACCCCATTTCTCTCTCCCTCTCTTTGGACGACGGTTATCTTTGCCATCTATTTAATGACAAAAAACGAAAATACACGTTTATATTAACAAATTTTATATTTGTTTTGTTGATTATCAATATTTCCAATACCAAATTTGGCTTTTACGTCTTAGGTATTTGAAAATAGTATTAAATTATTGATTTCATTTAAAGCTTAATATTCATTTAAAGAAGTCTCTGAAAGAGAATGATAATCTAGTATACGACCACTTCAATACTATAATTCAATAAATATATCGTCAAGAGTAGATATCATTTTCGTTGGCTATATATATTGTGTCCTACTTGAAGTCTTCATCAACATCGGGCACTTGTTTATGTACAGTTGCGATATGACTATACTCACTGTCCGTTACCACTGATGGTCTGCGCACAACTCCAAGGTGTTGATAGTCACTATCTTTAAGTTCGTGATTTATTGATCCAATATGGTTGTATTCAGAGTCGGTTATAATAGTTTTTGGTTCACTTCCAAGATGGTTATAGGTATCATCGCCTGGATTGTGATGATTAAATGAACGAATGTGATTATAAGTATCATTTGTAGTTTTTATGTTATCAGAGTTATCTCCCCTTAAATGCTGGTAATTGCCATCATACGGTACACTAGTGTTTGATCCAATATGATTATAGTTGTCACTATGTTTGGTAGCTTGTTGGTAATGGTCGTCTGATGTCACAGTGATGTTTGGTTCAACATAGTTATCATTGTAAACTTGTGGACCCTGTTTTCCAACGTCTTCTGTGGTTATATAATCATAATCGGTATTTGTATTCTCACGCAGATTAACATCCAGCGATTCATTTTGGTTGTTATAGACACAAGTTTGTGCATTACGACATTTTCGTTGTTTCCTGAAAACAACGATAAAGAAAGAAATTAAGTCCAGAGTTATCGTAAACGTATATTAGAATTTAAAGAAATAATTAAGGTTTAAAACTGGCATGATTGTAATAGACGCAACTTTGTGTATTTACACATTTTCGTTGTTTTCTTAAAACAAAAATATAGCAGGGACTGATCCAGGATTTTCAGAAAGGGGCTGCCCCCCCCTTTGGAGTGCGAAGCCCGGCCCTCGGTCGGTAGGCGGACTGACGGGCAATCGACCAAGTTACCAACCGGCTCGTTTCGGAGTAAATTACGATTTCCAACCTAAACTGACTGTTAAGTATTTTTGTTCTCCTATCCCACGCCTGTATAGAAATTAGGATGCGGGGTATCGTGGACGTATCCCAGAATTTGAAGAAATGACTAAGGTCTAAAGTTGACGTGGTTGTGATATAATTACGAATTAATCAGACGTAATTGAAACCTCTCAAACTATTTGTCGAATTTGAAATACAAAGATATATTCGCTTCCAGTAATATACACCCTCTGTATGGTGATCCGGCTATCAGTTTAGACGGAATTGCGAAAACGTACTTGGTATAATTATATTTTAAGTGTTTTAAATATGTTGAAATGCGGTCCCCTGAACATATTTTAACATAATTTACTGGAACCCAGTGTAATCTATTGAAGTCAACAATTGTCGAAATATTGTTGAATTAATACTATCATCAAGCAATTGGAAATAGTCCTGGAGTCTACCAATAACTTTGAAATTTATCTACCAACAACTTTGAAATTTACCTTTTGAACAGAAATATGCCAATCAAAACTATTAGAGCAAGAACGAACAGAGCACCAATAAGACCACCGACAATACTTCCAATATCTGTAATAAATATACAAACATAATTTGATGACTTCTATTTTATTTTGCAGATGATTTAATGAAGGTAAACAACCACAAGTCGCATAATATACACAATTGGTATGGACGCGATTCTTGTGAGGGGCGGGGAGATGACACGCCATGGAATGCATAATAATATACAACCTTACCTGCCAAGGAAGAGACACAGCTATCCGGTATTGTCTTTCCCTTTAGTGTGCATTTATGTTCTGGTATGGCAATGCCAGGATCACATAACAATGTAATTAAATACTGACACTTCAATGCCCCCAACACCCTTTTCTAGGTTCCCACTGTCGTGCGATGCTTTACGATAGGATTGTACCTCTTGAGTCCACGATCATATACGTGCAGATACGTTCGGATACGCTTCGATACGATAACCACGACTGTACGACTGACCCCAATATATGGTAATACCTGATAGGATCACCACGATTACTTTACGGTTAAAAATCACGATTTTAATCGCAGCACGAATAGTGATGTTGGGAAACCATCGTTAACTAAACCCCTGCTTATCACATAAGTACTCAAATCTGGTGATATTTATTTGGCCCAAACAATACCTAGCATTGTGTGAGTAGTATAAAACATGATAATTATTATAATATAAAAAATATCCTTATATATATATATATACCACCAACTAGTAATTACCAGGTGTATCAGTTTTTGGTATGGTATCAGGAGTTGGTGCTATCATGGTCTTGGTTGTATCTATTATTGATGTCGTATCAGTTGTTGGTAATATCTTTGGTGATGAAGTAGAAGTAGTGGCGCTGGTTTTTGGGAATGAGAATACTGTAGTTAAGCCAGATGCTGGTTTGTTTGCTGAAATAATGAAACAAGGTGGTAATATTATAATTAAAATGCCCCTCCCCCCAAAAAACCCAATTTAAATCAAATAGACCTGATTTGTTTTAGATGTTAACTGAAGATGGAATGCGTTGTATTAGGACAACTTTAACAAACTCGACTATTGGCGTGAACATAGAAAGGTATATAAATAACGAATAAGTAAATTATCTCACCAGGTATACATAAATAAATAATTTTACTGTAGGTGCTGAAATGTTGTCCTTCACATACTGTGGCAGATACCTGTACTAGCTGCGTTTGGCAGGTAGATTTATTTAAACACTGATCTTGTAAAAATGTCTTTGTCATGGGTTGGTAACAATCACCAGCTTCTTCTCTACAGCATGCGATATCAGCACAACTAGAAACTCCATGCACACCACATCCTTGTCGGAATCCATGCGTTATATTTATTATTGAAATAGTTTCTCTTTTTGAACATCTCAGTTGGTGCTGGGTACATGATAATCCACTGCTACCGTAACACGCCACACTGGAAATGCTGTCTAAAATCAAAATATAAGACTGAATATTATCATTAAATATTTTCAGTTTAAGAACTTTATATCTTATGTAACTTTCAAATACTGGAAATCTAAAATTATATTTTAAGACTGAATATTAACTATTTAGAATGGTACATCCTTCAGAATAACGTGTGTGTGTGTAAGAGAGAGAGAGAGAGAGAGAGAGAGGGAGAGAGAGAGAGAGGACCTGGAGATAATCCACAACGTTACTGGGGTTAGCCTTCTCATTCTCACATAATAATGTAAAATCAAAACAAAACCACTTGCCCCAATGGCAGATCTTATGATCTAAAGTGCATGTGATAGACTATTTGCCCACCCAACCCACCCAAATAATGACCCAAGAATATCTTACCTGCAACAATATCAGCAATAGTCACTATCAAAAAGACGAATGCTACTTGTTCGGGGAAATTTATAAACATTCTAATATAGAGCACTCGGAAGCCTGCAAACAAATAATTAGTATTAATATTGAATAAAAGCTGGCAAAATCAATATCCTTACTTATATACATGTACAAATTCAAAAAATCGTACACCACATAATTATATGAACACTAAAATTGCACGATTGAAATTGTCTATTGGTGAGAAAGCGAAGTTAGCTGTGTGAACTTCCCAAATTTTAAAGCCAGGTCAGCTGTGAGAACTCACCAAATTAGAAAGCCAAGTTAGTTTTGTGAACTCACCAAATTAGAAAGCCAGGTTAGCTGTTTGACCTCACCAAATAAGAAAGTCATATTAGCTGTGTGAACTCACCAAATGAGAACGAAAGCGGCCAGCTGTGTGAACTCACAAAATTAAAAACCCAAGTTAGTTGTATGAACTCATCCAATTTTAAAGCCAAGTTAACTATGTGAAGTCACCAAATTAGAAAACCAAGTTAGTTGTGTGAACTCACCAAATTAGAAAGCCAGGTTAGCTGTATGACCTCACCAAATAAGAAAGTCATGTTAGCTGTGTGAACGCGCCAAATCAGAAAGCCACGCTAGCTGTGCGAACTCACCTAATGAAAAATCCAGGTTAGCTGTGTGAACTCACCAAATGAGAACGAAAGCGGTCAGCTGTATGAACTCACAAAATTAAAAACCCAAGTTAGTTGTATGAACTCATCCAATTTTAAAGCCAAGTTAACCGTTGTTATGTCACCAAATTAGAAACCCAAGTTAGTTGTGGGAACTCCCCAAATTAAAAAGCGAAGTTAGTTGTGTGAACTCACCAAATGAGAAAGCCATGTTAACTGCGTGAACTCACCAAAATAGAAAGCCACATTAGCTGTGCGAACTCACCTAATGACAAATCCAGGTTAGCTGTGTGAACACACCAAATGAAAAATCCAGTTTAGCTGTGTGAACTCACCAAATGAGAAAGAAGTCAGTCAGCTGTGTGTCCTCACCAAATGAGAAAGAAAAGAAGTCAGTCAGCTGTGTGTCCTCACCAAATGAGAAAGAAGTCAGTCAGCTGTGTGTTCTCACCAAATGAAAAATTCAGGTCACCAAATGAACACACCATATGATAAAGCTAGACTGACTACATATAAACAATAACACACTGAAATATAATAATATTATGTCCTACATTAACTTACGTATAAATTATCTTGATCATATCCTGCCATTTTAGCAAATCATGTCCGCTATGTTAAGTGATGTTTGTAAAACAAAGGCGGATAATTAACCACTGTTCAACTATTCAAATCCGTGTAAGGCATGTCATCTGGGAAGACAGTTAGAAGTTAGTCATGACGTCTGACACTCGTTCTTAAATGTTCATTTCAGTAGGACGTTAAACCTAATTTCATTTTATTATATTGAAGCAGATTATACAGTTTTAAGCAATATTTAAAATAAATGAAATGGGGTTTAACGTCCTACTCTTCTGCTCCTATACTGGGTTAATGAAGACGGGCATACGCCATACAGTGTGCTATGAGGGAAATTTTTGCCTGGGCAGCGGCACTATCGCCTACTCTTATATCGAATTTCAAATGCCAAGGGATCGTTTACGTGCATTCCAATGTATACACGGGACCTCGGTTTTTCTTCTCATCTGAAGGACTAGACCGCTGTCCTTGCCAGGTCCTCCGTTCTGCACCACTGACAAGGAGGAACCACGTCGGAGGGCCTGACAAGGTCAGCTGTCTAGTCATTCGGATGAGACGAAAAACCGAGGTCCCGTGTATACATCGGAATGCACGTAAAAGATCGCTTGGCAGTTGGAATTCGATATAAGAGTAGGCGATAGTGCCGCTGCCCGGGCAAAATTTCCCTCATAGCACACTGTATGGCGTATGTCCGTCTTCATTAGCCCAGGTAAGGAGCAGAACAGTAGGACGTTAAACCCCATTTCATTTCATTTCATTTCATTTCTTTATGACAACTAACACTTAAATGACCAGACAGTATCCCTATTTTCCTCTATAGCTCAACTATTTACGTTAGAATACGTGACGTCTAAGTTATTTATGATTTTGGAACTCTATTACGTCGCGGCAATGATAGTGTTATAGCATAATGCAAATGCTATGTGTATTTCCATACACATACTTAAATGTACTTAAATGGTATTCTTTATGGAATATAAAATGTTCACATTTGTTAAATATAGTCTACTTAAATAAATCTGATCACGAGCCAATGATATTATTAACTAATATGTGTTATTATTCACTAGCTCGGTAATATTGCATGGTTCTTTAAACGAGCCTTTCAGTATAGTGTACGAATGTTTTCAAATCTTTATAAATGCAAAATGATGCTTTATTTGTAAGCGTGTCTTACTGTTTTCAACTCTTTATATATTTGTAGGTTGAAGGCTCATATCAAATCTTTATAGATGTAAAAGACTATTTTATTTGTAAGCGTGTCTTACTGTTTTCAACTGTTTATATATTTATAGGTTGAAGGGTCATACCAAGTATTGAAATAAAATTTGACTTGTTCTAAAAATAAATATGATTAAAGTACACTAGTGAATGACGTCCTGTTTGATAATACAAACCGGTATATTAAAGGGGCGTTTATTGTGTATATAACTCTGTATGCATATATACATTTATATACATATATATAAACTAAATTAAAGAAAGGCACCAAAATACTAATTTGACGGCTATCGCTTTCTGTTCGTACTGGACATCTTCAGGCCATTTTTATTTATGAAGAATCACGTAGAACAATAGACGCAACGTCGTGACGTTACTACAAATATATCAAATACAACATAATAATAATATTTACATATTTTTACATTTATTAAATAATCAATAAAAAGATAATTATTTCATCTCTTACTATAATATCCGTTTATTTAATTCTGGTTTGTACTTTTTGATGAACACGTGTATTGAATATAGTCTATGTAAAGGTGATTTGGAATTAATGGGGACTGTAAAGCCGTGGCAAAAAGAAAGTCCTTTTAATGGATTGCTCCCTGTCAAAAATATTTCTACCACTTACCATCATTATATGTCACTAAAACATTGTGATTTGTAAGGCGATTTGTATTTGGCTAACAATTCTTTTCACAAGATTAAAATCGACTTATGTATTTTGAGCTCAAATCAAAGAATGGTTTTATTTGAGATAATTATGCATTTGCCTCAAAGGATATTCTGGAAATATATTATTTGATATTGACCTTAATGGAGTAATTTAGATGTAGTCATTATTCCGTCGGTAAATACAATCTATAGTTGCAGTCTAATTTGTTTGACCATTTCCATATAGCTCTGTTCAAACCAATGTGGGGGGTTCACGGTGGCTAAGTGGGTAAGACGCTGGCTGAGAAAGTTCATCCAGATTGTCCGGCATGGTTTCATCCTTGTCAGTGATTCAGGACGGAGGGCCTGACAAGAACAGCTGTCTAGTCGTTCAGATGGGACGAAAACCCGAGGTTCCGTGTACATATTGGTGTGGACGTAAAAGATCCCTTGACAGTTGGAATTCGATATAAAAGTATGCCGTAGTGCGCTCTCCGGGCAAAATTTCCCTCATAGCACACTGTATGGCGTATGCTCGTCTTCATTAGCCCAGTTCGAGCAGAACAGTAGGACGTTAAACCCCATTTCATTTCATTTCAAACCAATGTTTGTTAAACATGCATTATGCAAGAGCAAAATCTGCTTATTACAAGTATTTCTTTAGGCCTGAAATATTATCTAAATTATCAATTAGACATTAATTAACTTATCCAGACCATAATAAACTCTCGATGTCAAGGCTAGCCTTCGATGTTGGCTGGATTAGATTCCTATATGCCGCTAACGACCGTTGATAATTAAATCAGAAAAAGTGGATAATCGAGATTATGCTGTTTATATTAATGATTTTAGTAATGATGACAGAGACTATGCAAAAATTTCACCCGCTTCTTTCTCGGCTCATAGTGGATCAATTTGATTGAAATTTTCAGCAAATTACCTTTACACTATCTAGTTTTTAACTATTATAGCGAGAACTGCCATCTCTTTATCTTATCTCCCATAATGTATCTTTAATAAATCTGTTCAAGTTAGTTGTTTTATTTAATACAGCATATTGTATTTAGATTAGGTAATATTCTGGAAATAACACCAAGGACAATTTGTGTGATATCTGTGTGATAAATATAAGTCATATAGCAGATATAATACGAATTGACCTTTAACTCCCCCTTAACCACACTCGACTTTATCTTTATTAAAATAAACGAATACCAGGATAAAGTTACAATATGCGTCATTTAAGTTATAAATACTTCCTGTATGAAATTTAAAGGGGGTTTATTGTTCATTTAGCCATCCTTGATACATTAGAACAAGAGACAGGTAGCTCAGCTATTTGGTGTTTCCATCGGAACTATTTAAAAGATATTCTTACACCCAATTTTGGCTAATCAATTATTCAAGAATCCCATTCAAAATATATTTAGACCGTCCTACTTTTCTTGGGGTAGTGCTTTCAATCGGATCCTCAAACTACTAGTAGACGTATCATCTTCCTTATCATGTTTTATATTTATTAAAACTTTTTTATGACGTATAACTTCCCAGGTAGTATACGGAATTTAATGAAAACTTGATTCAAAACTCCATTTATTTTGTTATTGCCCACAGCCTTTCGAAGACGAGGTAGAATGTTTAAACTTGATTAAGATGTTCATGAGATGAATATCTTGACTGAGTTCATTGATAAAGATTTCCCTCTAGAGCTAAGCAGAGCTATAAAGAAATTTCATTGGTCGATGCTTTGGGACAAGATAACTTTGATTCTAACCGATGGCGAGTGATGCAACTTAGTACATAGTTTCAATACCACGTACTTTGATCGTGAACATTTAGTGACTGGGTTTGATTGTGAACATTTTATGCTTAGACTAAGTATAGATAATCAGTTTGATTGCTCAATACTTTTGAAGAGAGAGAGAGAGAAAAATGGGATTAACGTCCACTCGACACAAACTAGGTCATTTCGGGACTAACATATGGTTTAATTTTATTTCAATAATTCGCTTGCGCGTAGGGGTCTTTAGCAGTGGGAGGAAACCGGAGGACTCGGAGAAAACCCACGTACAACCGGAGATTCGAAACCACGCCAGTTGACTCAATGACAGGCTTTATGATACAGCGCGCACGTGCTAACCATTCAGCCCCCCCCCCCCAACTTTTGAAAAGGATGTGCAATTGATCAATATGTCTCATCTATTTATTTATGGATTTCGGCGGTGGATATCAGCCTTACTGCTGGCGTGTTTATTTATTACTAAATTCATGTCAAACAACAGCTTGGTTATAAACATGTTTAAGGTTTATAAACAATTTCATTGTAAGGATATTTACATTTAATACAAAAGCTTCTACACCAACATATTTAGAGTTTATAAATAGCTCCATTATAAGATAACATATTGAGAGTTTATAAGCAGCTTAATCATACATATAAAATATTTACAGTTAATAAACAGCTTCGCTTATAAATATAAACATTTAAAATTTATAAACAGCTCCATCATAAACAGCTTCATTATAAAGATATTTAGAGTTTAGAGTGTATAAACAGCTTTATAATTTGGAAAAGCTTAGGGTGTATAAACAGCTTTATAATTTGGAAAAGAATCTGTGCTGAATTATTTACAAATTGCTAAGATAATATCACATTGCAGCTTATAGCACATATGGATTACACCTTATTATTTATCAATATATATGTAAGTAAAATGGCGGTAGAATTATGTACATATATCTGTTATCACAGATAGGAAATAGGAAATACTGTTCTAACCGTCTACTAGACGAATCAAACTCTGCCTAATATAGGGTATTATTTCCTTTCCTATTTACAACATATTATGATCTATCTGCCTTATTTACACATAATATTATTGGATGTTATTAAGTTACACGGGTGTTTAAAGCCAACGATGGATTCGCTTTCTGAAAACATGCATTTACAGTCTAATATTATTCCGAAATTTAACTTTAATTTAAAGGTCACTGGTGTTAGAGTTATACTCCAATATGTCACTGGTATTAGAGTTATACTCATATAGGTCAATGGTATTAGAGTTATGCTCCAATATGTTATTCCAGATTACGTGTTTGAGGTTTACACTATAATATATTGTGAACAGTGCAAAATTCTATGTGTACACAAGGCTACATTTCTGGAACAATGGAATCGTTAAGCTAACACAAATAGTATCTGACATTAACATGTTGGATATTAAATATCTTTAGCCAACGAATATTCTCCCTCTAACACGTCAGCTCCACCAATGTGAGAATATTCCCCATCTATTATAATCGGTTGTGCATTTCCGTTTCCGATATGATGGTAGTCATCATTACCCAGTATTTCCTTATGATCACCTCCAATATGATTGTATGTACCACCCGTTACAACTTGATGTTCGTGATTGCCACCGATATGATGGTAGGCATCACTATTCAGACCAGTGTTATCGTGTCCACCGATGTGATTGTAGGTATCTTCAGTAATAATCCCAGGTTTGTTGTCTCCAATATGTTGGTAATTATCCTCAGCTACACTAAATGGACCAATATGATTATAATTACTATCTGGAACACTTGGCTTATTAGAGTTAGGTCCCTTTAGATGATGATATTCATCATCTGTCGTCACACCGTTAATTCCAATATGGTTATAATTGTCATTTCCGGTCGCATGATTATCTCCCCCTATATAATCATAATTATCACCAGAGGTCGGTTTAACACTAATTGGTCTACTGTTGTTGCCATTCTTCCCTAGTTCGTAATAAACGGGAGTTGTGGTTGTTCGAGGGAGTGACGTGTCAGTTTGATATCGTCGATTAGAACCATTTTGATTAACGTGAACATTTTTTGATGTTATGTTATCTGCTTTTCGCCTACAATGAATACATACTAATCAACATAATATACTGATAATTAACATAGTAAACTTTGAATGAGGTCCGTACGTTTTGATATCTTCTCTAGTATACTGAATTTAAACCAGAATACAATGATAATAAATGATTCTGATTTAATCGCGGGGAGATTATAATTTACTGGACATCTTCAATTGAACAAAATTGAATAAATCCCCAAAATCCATTACAGCTAGAATCTTGTTTTAATTGATGTGCACATTGTCTTTCAAACAAAATTAAACCTAACAGATTATTAATGAACAATGTAAGGCCTCGGGTCTACAAATTATCGATGATGTAAAGCGTGAGGGTTTATGCTAAACATTAATTTATGTTTATGAACCATTGCCACCTTTGACCATGAATTACCACCATGTTAAGGTCTACTTGGAGTCCTTAATTGATTTTGCCCAACGTGATTCATTTCTATTTTATTTAATAAATCGCATTACCGATAATTTGATGCATTTCTTGCACACGACATAAAACTCACCTTTTAATAAAGAATATGACAGCACCGATAATACAAATAACTAGTATAACACCGACTATACCACCAACAATACCTCCGACATCTGTAGCTAGAGAGAGAAATACAAAAAGGAGTAAAATATATTGTAGCTATATACCTGCGTACAAACTTGTTGATTTGATAATATATTTGGACCAACAACGTTCAAAGTAATTGATCTGTCAAAATTTTGATTAATAACCCTCTCAAAACATTGTGTTAGCTACACCAAGCTATAACAAATATATCTATTAAAAGAAGCCTGTGTCACATGACTTGGATGTCGCGCTACCTAGCAACAGGTGCGTAGCTGGATGTGCAGAATTCATTGCATCTCAAAGACGATGCTGATTTTAATCCCTGCCATTTATCATCAATATTGAAATTTAAGTTAATTCCTGGATTATCCCCTTCCCACGTCTTTTTCCGTGTTTTTTATCGTCAGACAGTCAATTAGTGGCACATTCTCATTTTTGTCCTGTGCGCCCTCGATGGGTGATTGTTGAGGAATCCAGTATTTTTCTAGAAATATTGGGTGTCTCTACGTTCCATATATCAAAATTGACATATGAATAGACCCGTGGAAGAACGTTCTAAGTCACTTTTTCAACGAACCCCAGTTAATGGCACCATCTGGTAGCAAATCGTATAAGTTTTCTGTGGAACAATCAATCTCAGATAAAAACGATCAGAGTCACAGCGAACCAAGGCCCTTCTCAAATGCCCCCCCCCCCCCGGGACAAATACAAGTCCATCGTACCCTGTATTTGACCTTAATGTGGCTGAAAAGTGGAAGCCAGCTGTAGTACTGGTAACTATGATTCGTATTAAACATCATTTTGAAGTTGTAATTAAACCCACTCGTTGTTCTGTTCGCGTCAAGCATTCTCGTCCAAAAGTCTGTTTTGCCTTTTATGCGAAAAGACAAAAATGTGACTTAGATCGTTCTTCCCCTGGGCTCTCCATATTTGTATTGGAAATGCCACCCGATAAATACCTTTGTGGGGAAGTATATTTTAGGACACCTACACCTGTGTCTTTATCTTTGAAATTAAACTGACCTCCGTCTATGGAGTTATCTCCTAAACAAGAATACCCTGTTTTCATAGAATACAGCCATGACCCAAATATAGAAATTCAGTTGGTGTTTCAACTGATATAGTGAGTGGTAACTTCTCCGATGATGACAAACTGTTATACAAGATTGCGATGTCAGTTCGAAAATTGACTTGAAATAGAACAACACGAGAAAAGGGGACCAGAGCCTCGCGTAGTTATTGACACTGTTTTGCTTTTATTTTAAATAATTTTACAGCACTAATAAGAAATTATCCATGAGAACGAAGGAGCTCCGTGTTTTCATTTTAATGATTCATTCAAGCAGTGTATGCATTATATTTATGAACGCTATATTCTCTATTTATGAACGCTATATAATGAATTTACACCCTACGTATATATTAACATTTTTTATAAATATATTTCAAACAAAAATGACGAAAACCAAAATTTTAATAATAAAAATAAATTTTCTTGCAATTATCTAATGAAAACCAGGAAATAAGAAGAAATATAAATTAAGGGAAGTGTGCATTTTATTCGTTTTGCATCAGTATAAACCAACTGTTTCCATTTTTCTACAATTAAATATACTTAAATGTACATCTAATTGTATTTACATCATTATATTCTGACTGTTGTCATTTTGCGAGAAAGCAGGAATATATATTTAAATATTTATAAATTATTATATACTGACCAGATTCATTTGTAGTGTCTGCTGCAGAACCTAAAATATAATGACATTAAACATTTCAAATTTATTAACATAAATAAAGAATATCATGCAGTAGTGACCTATATAGAATTTACATAACGTGTGTACCGTGATATTCATTCAGTGTGATATTGTGCGTTGGAAATTCCAAACCGTTATAACAAATGGTGCAATAATGGCAGTCTACCTGTTTTTTTGGTTGACGTTGACAATTGGTTAAATGATATTGTTTCAGTAGAAACAGTTGTCGGCGATGTTGTTTCAGTTGTTTGCCTAGGTGCTCCTGAAATCGTTTTACTCTCAGTTGTTGGATGAAGTGTTAAGGTAGGTGCTGTAGCTGCCGTTGCTGGCTGGGCGGTTGGAACTGCAACACAAGATCACACGGTTATCAGGCAGACACGGTGGTTCAGTGTGTAGGACATCGACTCCCTAATCTGGAGGACGCGTGTTCGATCCCTGCGTTCATCATGTGATAGTCGTTCGGATAGGACGAAATTACACATTGGCATGCACGTAACAAAAAAACAAACTCCTTGACAGTTGGAATTCGAAATAAGAGTAGGCCTTAGTTCCGCTGTCCGGGCAAACTGTACCTTATAGCACACTGTATGGTTTATTCATTAAGCCAGCAGACGAAGAACAGCGGGGCGTTAAACCCAGTTTCATTTCATTTTTTCATGGCCATTACAAACCTGTGAACGTAATGTGACACTAAAAATGGCGGTTTAATTTAGTCTACCGAATTCTCCTATGAATACCTGACAAAATTTTTTTTAGCAAACTGAAATAATATAAATATAGTACGATTGATATAATTTAAAGGTACCGGTATGGCTTATTCATCATTAGCCCAGCAGAAGAAGAACAGCGGGACGTTAAACCCAGTTTCATTTTATTTTTTCATGGCCATTACAAACCTGTCAACGTAATGTGACACTAAAAATGGCGGTTTAATTTAGTCTACCGAATTCTCCTATGAATACTTGACAGAATTTTTTTTAGCAAACTAAAATAATATAAATATAGTACGATTGATATAATTTAATGGTACCGATAGAACGACAAATGTAAATTCAAGAATAAACATACCCTGTCTCATGCACTAAACAAATCACTAATTTTAAAGGATGGTTTACCATTTAAAAACCATATTATGTGTATTGTTAACATTAAACTTACTGTTTTCTATACACTGATATTCTATCCTGCTGTAAGAATGGAATATAAACATATCAGGAAAACAATATGAAGATTTTTCATTTAACTGGTTTCTATTAAGAGTACAGCTGGATCTCCCATTAGTGGTTTGTTGTAATTGTGATAGAAGAGTTTGGTTGTAAGGTGTAAAACAATCTCCTTCCTGTTTTCTACAGCATGCTGTATCACTACATATATTTACAGGTGAACATCCTCGTCTGTATCCAAACGTTATTTTAGTTATTGATATAACTGATGGTTCTGTACAGAATAGATCATGTTCAACACAGTGTACACCTGGTGAACCATAACAAGCTGTACTAACTTTAGCCTTTATTTCGTCTGTTAAAAAATTATAGTATATTAAACCTAACATATATCAATTTCATTCTGGAAGTACTTTTGTCATATTTTATAAACTAACAAATATTAAATTCATAAAGAAATAAATCACAAAATGAATTGTACAAATTTTACTAAAATAAATTTTAAACAAAAGATAATAAACTAGAATTGCGACGCAGTAATGATGGGTTTCACCGGTGCCCCGTTACCCTTGAACATATGTCACTTCCGGTACCGATGAAACCATTAAACAGATTTCCATATAAGCATTGCACACATCAAATAAAGTGTGCGCAGAATCAACCAAATCCAGCAATATCGATTCATTGTATACATTTGTTACATGTAAGTGATCCTGACAAAATTACATTACTTCCGGTGATAATGAAAATGTTAAATTAGTTTTATGAAATCAGAAATGGCATAAGGCATCACATGGTGACAATTTTATGTAAATCGAATAATAATTGCCACTTTTATAGTCCAAAAACCTTGAAAAGTGACTTGTAGAAAATCATCTATTTCTCTGCAACCGTACAAGATAGAAACCATTTTGTGGAATCTGCATGATCGTGTGGGTTCCGTCTATTTGTTGATTGGAATCAAATATCATAATTTTAAAAACAATACAAATCAGACTCATTTGAATAAAATATCTGTTTTGAAGGCTAAAAATACAGTTTTTGCCAAAATGACGTTACTTCCGGTGACAATAAAAGTGTTAAATTACTTGTACGAAATCGCAAATGGCATTAGGTATCACACAGTTAAATTATTTTGAAAATCGAATAATAATTGACACTTTTATGGACCAAAAACCTTGAAAAGTAAGCTGCGGAAAATCGCCTATTTCTCCGCAACTGAACAAGTTAGAAACCATTTTTTGATATCAATATGATTGTATGGGTTCATTCTATTAGTTGATTGGAATCAAATATCATAATTTTAAAACCATTACAAATCAGACTCATTTGAATAAAATATCTGTTTTGAAGGCTATAAATACATTTTTTTTTTTGCCCAAATGGCGCCATTTCCGGTGACATTGAAAATGTTAATATGGTTTGAACTAGTCACAATTGACATTACGTATCAAATGGTGTCACTTTTATGAAAAGCCAATAATAATTGGCTCTTTTACAGGCAAAATAGCGTAAAAAGTGACTCATGCAAAATTGACCATTTCTCGGCAAATACTCATATTACAAACTAATTTTGACATAGATTCTCTTCGTATGGATTAATGCTAAAAGTTTATGAAAGTTGTGAAGAAATATTTTAAAATATGAAAAGCCTGAATGTGTTGTAAATAGCTCATTTTTACACCTTTTTTTTTACCTTTAAATCGAAATGGCGCAAATACAAAACCAAAATTAAAAAAAGCGAGTCCGAGATTTTTTGCGCCTTTTGTAGGGGCATTTATCTTGATCTATCAGATTTGAAAAAATTAACATTTGCTAGTGAAAAGACGTTCCGACTCGACAAAATTGGAGTTTTTAGCAAAATTGCGTCACATCCGGTGCCGATAATAAAATTTACCGGTAATAAAAAAAATGAGAATTTGCACCATGGAGCATATGAACTTTGTTTTATAAAAATCGGGCAATAAATAATTAACCTAGAACCGATAAACTGAATTAGCCAATAGCGGCCAAGAAAAATTATAAAGACAAAAAAGGTTCACATTTTTGCTCAAATCAGACGACCCCTTAACCCTGGGTAAAATGACATAAAAAATTATTCATTAATAAACAAAAATTTGTCAAAATTTAAATGTTCAAAATTTGGCGCCTAATATACTATTCAAAAAAAGTAGGGGATATTTGATTTTTAAGTGTTATTAAAGTCACCTAATGAAACTGACGAAGAAACAAATGACAAAATGAAATGAAGTTCACATTCATCGATTTATTCCAAATGATCGTTAGACTAAGTAAGGCACAGACTGACCATTATAAGGGTAAAATGATACCCGGGGTCAAACAGCAAAGTTACCACAGCATCACAACCAAGTCAGTAACGGGTAAATCCTCCTCTGTTTGCCAAACAAGCATTGATCCGACGTGGCATACTCCTAATGAGACCTCTAAGGTCATTTTGGTCCAGGTTGTCCCATTCCTGTTGCAACGCAGCAGCAAGTTCTTGGACATTGGCAGGACCTTGTTGACGTTGACGTAACCTCTGTCCAAGCATGTCCCAGACATGCTCGATGGGGGAGAGGTCGGGACTCAGTGCTGGCCAAGGTAATGTGGTGATGTTCTGTTGTTGGAGGTAACCTGTAACGATCCTGGCCCTGTGACATCTTGCGTTGTCATCCTGGAAGATGAAACGGCGGCCATGACGTCGTGCGAACGGCACAACATGGACTGCCAAGATGTTGTCCCGGTAGTACTGGCCTGTAACACGCCCTGCAACAACATGTAAAGCCGTTCTTCCAGCAACAGTGATGCCTCCCCACACCATAACAGAACCACCCCCAAATCGATCATGTCTGATGACGTTAACGTCTTGGAAGCGCTCGTTTCGACGACGCCACACCCTCCTACGTCTGTCCAAAAAATCAACAGTGAACCTTGACTCATCTGAAAACATCACATTGCTCCAGCGTCGATTATCCCAGTGTTGACGATCCCTACACCAACGACGTCTTGCCTGAATGTGATGATCTCTCAAACAAGGGATCACGCGAGGACGTCGGGCGCGAAGGTGACCCCTATGCAGTCGATTCCGAATCGTCTGGTCACTCACTCTCACACCAGTGTCTGTTTGAAGACGAGCGGTGATCTGATTTGCTGTGATGACACGATTTCTCAAGGCCAAGGTACGGATAAATCGATCCTGGGCTTGAGTTGTCGCCCTTGGTCGACCTGAGCGTGGTCTGTCCTGTACAGATTGTGTATCACGGTATCTGGACCATAGCCTGCTTATGACAGACTGAGAAACATTCATCGTCCGCGCCACAACCGCCTGTGTTGTGCCGATCTGTAGCATGCCAAGGGCACGTAACCTTTCATTTTGGGTAAGCCGACGCATATCAAAATTTGTTTTCTGGTCACTAAAACAATTAAACTCATGTTTCCACCCTGGAATTCAATGCCACAATGACTGTAACATTCAAAGTCAGAGTCGTGCAAATCTTGGGTTGGACCCCCATGATGATCCCAAGCATCACCTGCATTCCATGCGGTAGCTATTGGTGCGTTTGGGCGTCACATGTAACTGGAAATGTTTCTTCTGTTAGGTTCTATAGTGACTTTTTTCGTAGTCATTTGCATATTTTAGTATTATGCCCCCAAAATCAAATATCCCCTACTTTTTTTGAATAGTATATCTCCGAAAATTTGTCGAAAATCAAAGATCTAAACTATTGTAGCTATTTGCCCTGTCTCAGGCTATGTCAAAATTCCAATATTAAAATCCGACGATTATTGTTAATATTACTGCAATATTTCAAAACACGACAACTTTGGCGTTTCGGACATTTCGGATTGTCGCAGAAGGTTCGAAATAGCTTTAATCTCTAAGTCACACCCACTTTCCCAGTAAAACCGAAGACATCGAATTGATCCAACAAGTAGTTTCTGAGATATGCTCGAGTGGAAAAAAAATAATAATAAGAATAATCTTAACAAAAACAATAGTGTTTCACACAAGCTACGCAGTGTGAAACCCTAATAATGCTGACTAAATGTAAATACCAGTATATATCTCACCGAAAAATAGTAACAGGAAACAGCACCATATTAACTTATCCATTTTACACCTGTTTTATAATCATAATGTTTTAGATGATATTCAATGAACATGGGTCGGGATACGTTCTTGTTGGCATCAACCTGTAAAGTTCCAGGGTAATATTATTGTTCGACATCAGGGTTCAAGATTGCATAATTTTCATATTCGGTTGTGTGTAAGGGGGGGGGGGGCTAATGGGGTAACGGTCCAGAGTAGCGAATAGAAAAATAAATTATATCTCATTAGGAGCATCGAACTTATCATGGCTGATTTTTTATTTAATTTGAATGAACATATTATATAATGTCAGTATTAAGACAGGGTACATACTTCAAATTATACTTTAAACGGAGTCAACGCTTAATCAACATTGAATAGTTTGGGGCATATTTCTCAATTTTCAACACATTTGATTTTATAACCTAGCCGCAAGATACCAGTGTTTAATTTTAGATACAATGGAATACAAATATAGTTAGTTATCCTAAAATAATATTGAGGGTATATACTTACAAATATATAACACAACAAATGCAATATTCATCCAAACATGTCATACACGCAAGAAATCATTATGCACAAAGAACTATTGACAACAAACATAGCCATTTATTGTATTAATGTGGATTATTGTTAACATAATCACCAAACGTTAATCAATGTTGGTTGTTTTAGATAGTGAATAAGGAAGTAATACAGCTTAGTGTTATAAAATATTGTGGATGAAGGAAATAAAAGTAGCCTGATCAAAACTACACAAATTATCAACTGATTAGTTTCTTATAGACTATGTATAATTAATTGATTTTAAAGGCAATAAACATATCACATATTCCCCACTGAAGTAACATATATCTAAACTGTTTTTATTTATTTTTTTGATGTCACATTTATGCCATTTTCCGCGAAACCTCAATATAAACAGGAAAGGGTTCGGCTATTAATAGCACAGCACCCTTTAAACGTACGAATTATATACCAACTCATGTCATTGATCTTACTTATTAAACCATGATTCGGGTATAATAGAAAATATGCACTAATTACATCGGATTCGGAGATAAACTTTGTGGGAGATATCGACGGAACTATCAACAAATCTAATCGTATTCATCATTAATTACAACGATCTTATTTATTAAACCGTTATTAAACCAACAAATCTACCAGCATTAATTAATAATAATTTAATACATCGATTGTGCAACGTAACCTTGGATGTCCCTAAAACAAGTCTAGATTTTAGCCGTAAACTATATTCATATCAAATTTTATATAAACCAAATTATTGTCACACAATCAACAGGTTGTAAATATTTTTAGTTTTACAGGTTGACAAAGAGCACAAAAACACATACCCTGAATATGCAGTAGTTTACGGTACGTTGACAAAGACTATTACACAAGACGGTAGTGTAGTGGTACATACAGATAAAAAAATTTATACGAACTGTTCATCTCTTACTGTGACAAAGAATATTTTACCTTAAACTGATGTTTAGTAGATCAAACACATTAATCACTTATCTTCATGTCATCGAACCAAGATGTATATCTTATATATGATACTGTATTAATGCCATTGTTATTCCACTTCCTGTTTAAACACCATAATAATATATATATATATATATATATATATATATATATATATATATATATATATTTATATATACTATACTGATGTAAAAGAAACTACTGTGGTATAATTATAGTTAGCTGTCGATGTGAACTAGGCTTTATATCAACAGGTTTTCACTCAATAACATTCAAACTATTGGTATTTAACATCCTAGTTCACAATATAAACCCTGTTATTCACAATCACAGGACTTGACAATGAATACGACAAGCTAGACACTCTCTATGACTTTATTACCGTAACAAATCATACTCATAACGTATTTTTGGCGACTTCATTTACACGACATAAATAACTTTTAGAACTGGTTTATAATATATTTCACTATCCTTGTATAAAGTAATAAATAAATAAACGCATTAAGCGTTTTAATTTGACAAGAGCATCCTAATATAGTAGGGAGCTACCGTGGCTCAGTAAGGTCACGTGTTCAATCCCTGTGTAGGCCGGTTAATTTCATTACATCTGGATTTTCCACCTTGTCAGTTTTGTATGAGCGCGGAAGCCCATTAGCGTCACTCAAATGAACAAAAACAACTATTCTGATTATCTTATTTAATCACAAGGTCTATCATCGATGCAGTTGTCGTGGTTTCTAACCATCGCGTGTTGTGATATCTTTGACTGCTTAATCTCGGTGATTTTCGCCACCACTCACACCCTCGCGAGCAACTGCTACGTACTAGCGTCTTCATGATATCACAAATAAAATGTCCTATAATAGGTATATGTTGAGTACAAGAAATATTCTTACCAGATGTATTACTTTCTTGTTTCAAAGCCTCATTAATGTAACAATATCAGTGTGATATATTAATAAGATGTGTTGTAAGTACATGTAATGGTCGCATTCACCTGTATTTATACACTGCTAGTTATCGAAGCGATGAAATATAAACACAAGTCCTTTGTAGGCTATATATATAAATGTTACACCCCCTTCCATTATATACGGGTTGGTTAAAAGATATATAGACCATTACATTATATGCAGGTAGTGTCTAATATATAGGTATAGGGTGTACAATTAAAATAAATATAGAACATTAATTATATACAAGCAGTTTCTAATATATGTGAACTATCCCACTTTATAGAGGTATATGTACATAGAACATTACATTATATAAAGTTATATGTCGGTTTTCTCTAAATCACTGCAGTATGCTATTTTGTTTATTGTGTAACTATGTGTTGAATAAACTAATTATTTTCTATAATGTATGATAAAATGTTTGTATGTTAATATAGGCGGTCGATTAAACTATATACATTTCTCACCACATTGTCATCATTAGATAAAGAGGCAGATTTTAGGGGAATACCCGGTTCACAGAGACTAAAATACATGGGTTTTAACACCACACTAAGGAAGTGCATACAGATGCAAAATTTGGTTTAACTTCTTATTTGAGTAGATCACAAAACTATATTTCATAATTAACACAACTGAACTATTAAAATTGCAATACTTATGGGTTTTCAATATAACGGACGGTCTTGAAGCAGGCTTATCTTTTTTAACGAGACAAGCAAGAATAAGTTCGGGAACAATAGGCATCCATTGATACTCCAGCAACTTGATGTGATACGTGTCCTCTCCAAATGAACATTAATATCATAGTTATTAATATCATTTTAGTTTTCCTCGGAATCAGATTATTTTATATCAATTACATGTTAATGTTCCATACAATCAAAACAAGTTCCTTCTGCACAATTCCAATCACAACCGAACACCAGACCGTGAGATGAATATATCCGGGGGGATGAGGGTATCTAATGAATATTACTACGCCAGTCGCTCAAATTATAATGGGGTGTATGTTTAAAGTAGTGTCATCAACGAAGTATGTTTAAATAATCAGTGTACGTCAAGACAGGCCTGCTATTAATATCGACTAATCAAAGAGAATTCATTAAATCAAAGCGAAGGGAAGTAACTCGCTATTTATTGCAACTAAGATCGCCAGCCAAATTGTTGTTGTAAACTCTGTGAAAATATTTAAGGACATCCCTTGTTATGCATGTTACTTATATGATGTTAAATGTCTTGCAAACATTCTCATAATAGAGTGTGGTGAACGTAAACAATGAGGCTAAGACTGGTATTTAAACTGTTTTTGAATGATTCGTAGAATCAACCTTTGTACCAATACATCAAGGCCAGATGACTTGAATTCGTGGCAACCCCTTGAATGGACCCACAGTATAGTGGATTAGAACGGAACGATACCATCAGGGATACCGAGTATGATACAGGGTTTCGTGCGCTTAAAAGAATCCCTAGAACTGCGTGTGGAGGCGCTTCCATCTGGTCATGTTTACCTCAAAGCATACTGTATGGCGTACGATCGTTTTTATTAGCCGGATTGGTGCAGAGAATTAGGCCCCATATCACTTCAATTTTATTTCGAATTTCTCATATCTTAACCCATACTAAAATGTACTCAGATTATTTATTTAACATTTAATTAAGAAAACATCAACATATCAACGATGGATATGTACCACTGTGCCACACTAACCCGCCCCTGTGTAACTACTGGACTTTATATTTGGAGTAAATGAATTAAACGCCAGAGATCCAGGCTGTTCTGATCTATATGTGCACAAATAATCAAAACTGTCAAAATAAATTTTAAATATTTTTATTTAATAAGATTCCATTGATTTAGTATTGCGGCAATTGAAATTATGTTTGATTTAGTTATCGTTATTGCCTGTGCAGCCATATTCTTTTTTAAAGGGTGAGTTTTATATTACATACAACATATAGTTGATTTTCCGCTCGATATTTTTATCATTATTCATTCATTTATTCCAAGTATAAAAACATATACTTATGATCACATATTATGTCTGAACGCAGTCTAGTAAAATATGTGTCTTCATTCAATAATTATAGAAGATCGAAGAAGTTGAAATCACAGACAAAACAACAATATGATTCAGCACCAAGTAGAGTCAGTGACCAAGCTACAACTGTTCATGATTCATTAAATACCAGGCAACAGACCCGGTCGGGTGCCCGTCTCGAGGCTTGGAGAGAGATGCGGCCGAGAGGCGGTCGGGCTGGAATTCCTCGGGTCGGCCGAGGAGCGGCTTCGCGGCCAAACCTCGCTTCCGAGCTTTTCCCTTCCCGCCGCCTGGTCTGGCCCGCTTCTCTCTCGGTCGCGGGCTGGAATTCCTCGACTCACCGTGGCTCCATCCAAAAATAAAAAGAAACGGAGTGACATGGCCTACATGTAGCCTAATTAGAGCATTAAAAGATACGGGTATTCTTTACAGCGAAAATTACATTGATTAATTTAACGATTTTAAATACGGGTTATTGTTCAATTAGGTCAATTCTGCCAAGGCGCAAAGCATTATGGGGTACTATGATAGCGATAGGCTACGAAGAACTTTCATTTTACTTTTCATTTGATTTTATCTTTCATTTTACTTTTCATTTGATTTTATCTTTCATTTTACTTTTCTTTTGATTTTATCTTTCATTTTACTTTTCATTTGATTTTATCTTTCATTTTACTTTTCATTTGATTTTACTTTTCATTTTGGATGGGATGGGATGGGATGGGATGGGATGGGATTTATTTTACTTTTCAATTTGATTTAACTTTAGTTTTATTTTAAGATTAATTTTCATTTTCAGTTTAACTTTGATTATAATTTAATTTCATTTTCAACTTTAACATTTTTTTTATTTTATTAAATGTTTTGATACAATAATGAATGATAGCGATAGGCCACCATATATATTAGCACATATAGATTACATCGATTTCAACTATTATTTATCAATATATGTGCAAGTAAACTGTCGGTAGAATACTGTACATATAACTGTTAGCACAGTAGGAAATATATCCTAAACCTCTACTATACGAAACTATCCTATCTTGTTTGGTGGTTAAATTCTTGAATATTACGATATGCATGCCTTAATTGAGAAATCCTTTACACAGATACAACTAATTGGTTGTTGTTAATTTCATTAAATGGTTAAAGCCAGCGATTCACGTGCTCATTTTGTCAGATCTTGTAGAGAACATGTATTTATAATCTGTAACAATATTCCCAAATTTAACTTTAATTTAAAGATCACTTTTGGCAAACCGTTTTTTACTCTAATTAGTAATATGTTATTCCAGATTACATATTCGAAGTTTACACAATAATGTTTAAACAGGAAAGGGGTATGATCCATGTGTACACAAGGCTACATTTTCTGGAACAGTGGAAACATTTTGCGAACACGAATATAACTGTCATTAAAATCCTGGATATTAAATGTCTTTAGCCAATGAATATTCTCCTTCTAACACGTCAGTACGACCAATGTGAGAATATTCCCCATCTATTATAATCGGTTGTATATTTCCGTGTCCGATATGATGGTAGTCGTCATTACCCAGTATATCGTTACCATCAACTCCAATATGATTGTAGGTACCGTCCGTTACAACTTGATGTTCATGGTTACCACCGATATGATGGTAGTCATCACCGTCCAGACCAGTGTTATCGTGTCCACCAATGTGATTGTAGGTATCTTCAGTAATAATCCGAGGTTTGTTGTCTCCAATATGTTGGTAATTATCCTCAGCTACACTAAATGAACCAATATGATTATAATTACTATCTGGAACACTTGGCTTATTAGAGTTTGGTCCCTTAAGATGATGATATTCATCGTCTGAAGTCACACCGTTAATTCCAATATGGTTATAATTGTCATCCCCGGTCGAATGTTTGGCACTAGTTGGTCTACTGTTGTAGCTGTTCTTCTCCGGTTCATAATGAACAGGAGTCGTTGTTCGAGGGGTTGTCGTATCAGTTTGATATCGTCGATTAGAATCATTTTCATTAACGTGAACATCCTTTGGTTGTTTTTTATCTGTTTTTCGCCTAAAATAAATAGATAACAATCAACAGATACTGGCAGTTAACATATACATTTGGAGAGAAGTCACCGAAGACAACCCAGTAGTCGAAGCTTATAATTGATTATGTATGAATCTCATGGGAGATTCTAATTTATTGGACATCCCCAAAGTTAGCCTCTTTTGCATAAATCCAACAATACGTCAGAGCTACAAGTTTTTAACATTAATGATTTGTAATGTTCCTTCACAACACACTGCCTTTAATCGAAATCAACAACAAACTAAATATGCATTGTCCTTTATCTACAATTATAGTCGGTGTCAAGCGGGTGGGATATTATGCTGAACCGTTTATGAATAAGAACTACCTCCACTGTTGATGACCCAAGGTGGCTCTGTGACAAAGAAGTTAGCTAGCTGACATGGAGCTTCCTGTGTTCGATCCCGAGAATGTTCATCGGAATTTTCGGCGTCATCCCCCTCCCCCTTCCTGCCTGTGGTGCAGAAAAGAGTAACTGACAGGTGACAGCGTGTAGTTGTCGGATAGGACGATAAACCGAGGTCCCGTGTATACACACTGGCCTGCACGTATGCATCGCTGTACGTGCAAAATTTCCCGCGTCTGTATGGCGTTTACCCAATAGGAGCAAAACATTAGAATGTCAAATCCTGTGTCATTTCATTAATTTATTAACACAATGTAATATAATGTCGACTATTTTGCCGAATTCGTCCACTATGATCGATTGTGCTTCATTGCTTAATACACTGTAATACTTATAAATTGATGCATTTCTTCTAATGACATAAAACTCACCTTTTAATAAAGAATATGACTGCACAAACAATAGCAATAACAAGTATAACGCCAACTATACCACCAACAATACCTCCTACATCTGTATCTAAATATAATAATGTACAATATACATACGTTCGAATATAACACCAACAGTACCTCCTACATCTGTTTCTAAATATAATAATATACGATATACATATATAACTAATATACCACAAATTATACCTCGTATATCAGTATCTAATAGTAAGTGCAGGAGGACCGCACTACACGCAAAACAAAAATCTACAAGATAAACCTGCGGACAAGACAGAAAATAGACATTGCAGTATTTGCACCAAATAAACAGATATCAAATCAAGTGAATGGATCCGGGGGGGCAGCCGTAAGCGTCCACTGACACAGACTTTACTCAAATTTAAAAACAATCAGGAATAAAAAAAAAAGACGTAACAGAAATAATGCGACCAATCTTGACAGTGGTCGTCTCCTCAATGGCGATAGTCTGCCAGTTGACGTCATGAGTTAGAACGTCAAACCATTTTAACACTATAAAGGGCGATAATTCGGATAGAATCTCGGAAAACGCAAAAATAATAAGTGTAGTGAGCAAAGACTACTAACAATACTAATATACAATATACATAACCTACCACAGCAGTATCTGTTACGGCATAAGTCCTTATTTGCATCATAATAAAAAGCCTAGTACACCATTTGTACTATGTGTAACTACGCCAAGTATAATGTATGCCGCTAGTGCTAGTTGCAAGTTGACTTAAAGTGTTGTGAACAAGTAATACGATGTAGTCGAACATTAATTGTATGTCACATTTGTGTATTGGTAACCTAAATATATGATGAACGTAAGAATATAAAGTTCAGTGTATTTTCAACATGGTATTGGAAATTTGGTAGTTTTACAAATGTGGGAGATGCGGGGGTTTGGCACATTGAATATTATTGTAAGGATAATGTAATTTCATCATATTTCACCAGACCAAATGCATTGGTTATCAGTTAAGTTAATATCTTTGACATGAAATAGTTTTGTAAATTACTGTTATTTTTATATTATCAGAGAAACCACGTTCATTTATCCGCATTCGTTCATTAATGCGTACCTATTGATTAATTTAACGTGCGAGTGCCTTGTTAACGAATAACGTTAAGGGTAGAAGTATTTGATGTGAAACTGTGATGCATTAATTGTGTCATTGTTATGAAGTATTCTGGGTACTATTTGTATATCCTGTCAGTGTAGAATTAGGTATTTCAATGTAACAATATTAACGCGACGCAATAAACGTATTCATCAACTGAACACGTGTTCGACTTCGGGGTACAACGTAACCGGAAAGCTTCTACCAGTCATTGTAGTTGCCTTCTACGGTATCTAAATATGATAATATAAAATACAAACAATATATAGAGGATATTTGTCGTTTTAGAGTGAATAACATATTTTATTTCATCGAGAAGCAAGAAAACTTATATTTTCACGAATGCGTAGCATGAGTGAAAATATAAACGTTTTCTTGCTTAGAGATGAAATAAAATATGTTATTCACGACAAAACGACAAATGTTCTATTTATTTTATGATTTTACAGTCATTTTAGGTAAAAACAACATGGACTACTGCTAGCCAGTGGAATAACACTTTTATTTCACTGATAAAACGCGGTATTCCACTACTGATCATAAAATAAAAACTAATATTTAACATATATATGGACTCTAATATTGACATTAAACATTGGTATTCGAGTACAGAACGCCAGTTTGCATAGCAACTACAACTGTTATTTTAAAAACTAGATTGTAAAAAAAAAACCTATGACAAAACAGGTTAAAATTGTACAAACATGATTTATGAAAGGAAAACACACTTGCTGAAATGAGAAAAATACAAAGAAATCTAGACATTAAATTTATGTAATGATTTTTACACCATTTTATACTGACCTGTTCCTGTCTTGGCGCCTAATGTAGGATCTATAATAAATTACAGAAAGCTGTTTAAATATTTTTTAGGACTGTTATAAGTTTATCTTAAATTAGTGATTGGATCAAACGTTGAAATACAAATACAAGATCTGTTTATAGGTGATATTCATCTTTTTTGTCTTAACATTCATTTTGAAACGTAGCACAGACCTTCACAAACTGAGACTGGAATAGCAGAATATAAGATCATTTAAAACACCATTAACTAATTGTAATTACTGTAAAATATATGTGATTACCCTTTTAAATTTCAGACTGTATCCGTTTTAAATTTATTTTTTGATTCATCCATACATTATTCGTAATTTTGTTTCAAGATTTTTTTTTTCTTAGACCTTATAGTCAAAGTCCACGTGTCCGCGGAATTTTTTTTACATAATTCTTTTAATCCACCACTCATCTACTTAACACCTCAGATGAAAATAACAACCAAGTAAACAGTTTGTTTTACACAAATAAAAAAGTTATATTAATTTATAAAATAATTACCTGTAGTTGTACTTCCTATTTTAGAAGTTGTTGAATCTAGAAATAAAAAAAATGTAGGGTGACACATGTACTCTACAGAAATACAGTCCACCGCTGATAGTTCGAGACTACCACTGAAGCGTACACATTTGCCGTGCCGAGACCAACTTTCTAACAGTATGATACTATAAATAGCCATGGCACGTGCAATTCTCTACAAATCTATCAACTATTACAGCCGTAAAAAATTTATTGTTGACGATTTTGAATAGCAGTGAAATTAAGCTTCTTGGTTATTACAGCAGATTTAGAAATTACGTTCGTTTCATTTTTTAAATTGCTTTATCATTGGTTTAGTACAAATAATATCTCTGAATCACTCGGGTTAGACAGGAACATGATACTAGCAGTAGTTTCATTTTACTTTTACAAGGTTCTTAAAACGATTGTTGAGCTACCTAACGTGCTTATTTCTAAATTCAATTTCTTGTTCTAGCTTTCTGTTATGTTTTGTAAAAAAGTAGTCTTGATTATCCCGACCTGTCAATCAAACGTAGAATGGTCGATAGACTGGTTAAGCGAGACTAATTTCAAAACAACGGCACGTAACCTATATTTTACTCAAAAGTGTCTGGATGTTATGGACGACACTTGGGACCAGTTTTCAGTCTATTATTTATAGATGATTAATGGTCATAGCTATAATTGTGTGAAACTGATTTAAGGCTTGGCATATATATAAATATTGTGGCGTAGTTGTCGAGATATATGGAGATATATGGAGATATTTATTTATGGTGGGTCACCCTACAAAATCTTTTGTTCAAAAATTGTATATCTTATACAAGAGCCTTATAACACTGAATAATGCTATTTTCAACAAATTTCCATTAAGACAAACACGGCCGAGAGAGAACGCAAATTACGACCTGCATAATATGACATCTCAACGAATGTCGATCATTAAGTATTGAATGTTTTGCCTTTAATACACAAAAAAGTAACCTACTGCAAAAAATACTATGGTATTATGATTGTTTAATAATAAGTTATTATAAAGCGCTAAATCGGAACAACGTGCACATGGCACATACTACACTAGTCTCTAATAATATAAGTCAAACAGTTTTCAAGTCAGAGTTGAATTCAATAAGTGCAGGAATTCTGTAAAGGTTTAATGATAGTTTGTTTCACTTTGTAGATGCAGCGACCTGGAAAGAGCGACCAACAAACGACTTTAACTTCCACCGAGGAACACAAAGCATTTTCTGATTAATGGGGATGTAAAATTTTAAGAGATCGCAATATACAATACTTTGAAACCGATCCTGTCTTGAACAGGCAACCAATTTAGTTTTTTTTTCAGTACAGGAGTGATATGAGGGAGTGGATTTTTAGACCGGGTAAGCGTATCCAGTCTCCTGCACGTGTCTTATGCGCATAGCTTACGCAAGCAATAGTTTGGACTAGGATTGCGGAAAACTATACTACTGGGTAACCTTGGGACCAGCAGCGTTGGTCACTCATTCAGTATATCATGGAATATAGTTTGTGTTTCATCATCTTGTATAAAAAACTACAACATAAGGTATAATAATGACAGTCTACCTTGGGTACTGGTAACAGCAGCTGAAGATTCGTTAGAAGATGTAGTTTCAGTTGTTGTTTGATGTGTTGAAGAAGAGGATGTAGTTTCAGTTGTTGTTTGAGGTGTTGACGAAGACGATGTAGTTTCAGTTGTTGATTGAGGTGTTGAAGAAAACGACGTAGTTTCAGTTGTTGGTTGATGTGTTGAATAAGACGACGTAGTTTCAGTTGTTGGTTGGTGTGTTGAAGAAAGCGATGTAGTTATAGTTGCTATCTGAGTTGTTAAAGGAGTTGCTGTAATATAACATTATGTAGATGGCACCCGTTTTAGAGTAGTATGACATGTCACCAAAACAGCCCCCGTAGGATCAGTATGCTGAAATTGAGCTTTTGGTTGTTTTGGGTGATTTTAGACCAAGCTATGAAAAAATAATTTTCCAGTCCCTTGCACAACCCTTTTCGAAATCGGGAACCATCGGACTCAGTCCAAGCCTATCTCTACCAGCAATAGTTGGATCTTCATGATCTGAAATTCTTTTTGGGGGCTTTCAGCATGTCGACCCCGTCTACGATTCTCTTAAAGCAACTGTAAGTAGGTTCCATTGACTTCCTGTGGGAAATACCAATTTCCGGTCTTCGAGGAAGACCATATACATGTAAAGGCTGAGACACTAATACCCCACCAATTCCTTGCATCTGTAGATGGGAGTAACTGGCGGGGAGTATGCATTTACACCGATGTGGTTGTAAAACAGGCTGCACGGGTGATGAAGTGGCCATACAAATAGTCTGCCTGTTATATCTCTATGCAAATGTTTTGATAGAGATTGTGCCAATGTGACCAGGGATGCTTCAAAAACCACACAAAGTGGTACTGCATGATAGATTCATCTAAGCTGAAATCGACCCGAGTTTGACGTTCAGCCGGGTTCAGCGACACTGGAAATTTGTATTTAGCCCGCCTAAGTCAGTGACCACTTTAGATCATGAAAGGCAACCATTATTGGTCGAGATAGCTTTGGACCCAGTCAGAGAGGTCCCGATTTCTAAAAGGCTCCTTTCGAATGGCCAAGGCGTCGGAAAATTTGAACCCCGATATTTCTGGATAGCTCGGTCCCACATCAACACAGCAATCTATTTTAGCACACAGATCCTACGGGATGACTTGTCATATATCCCACACTATTTAGGCTATGATGTATTATAGGGATTAAAATAGTATATCCTTGGGATTATATATTAGACATTCATGATAGAAAGAAAATTCAAATTCAGGAGTAGTTGAAAATGGGTGGTATTTACAAACTAGTTCATCCCCAAAAAATAGTCACTATTAAGTTCCGTTGTGTAGGAGCGAACAAAAGGTATACAGGAATTACAAATCTTGATTTAGGAGAAATGATTTCTTAATTAAGGAAGATATAATGTTTTAAGTATTGGTCAGTCTGTTTCATTGATGTATGCACGGTTTAAAAGATGTTTTGTTAAAGACTACTCTAAAGTAATTTAAATACATTTTAACCACCAAATACATACAGTATGTATTAAAATACAGCGACAAATATGAAGTCCTGAAATGAGAAATGATATCAGGTGTTTTGGAAAGAGTAAGCACTCCCTGCCTCCCACGCCACAATCAATACTTATAACTTCGGTGAAGTGTCAAAAGGGTATATCTAAGAATTTCTAAAGATTAAGAAATAGAACCTTTTGCATTTCAAAATTTCCACAAATCAAGATACATTTGGACACGTGATATCCAGAACAGTTCTAATTGGCGTAGAGACACACAGCTTAGACATAAATGTGCATATTAATTGGGAGAGTTTAAAAATGAAAAAAAGTGTATTTGACTAATTTCCCGAGATACACCCTTTTGACACATTACCGTCGATAAACAATGGACAAGTATTGTTCCCTTAAACGTATTAATCACAAACATAATGTTTATCTTCATCAAAGTGTCAGTTGTGTGTGGATTACTAATACACTTACTGTTTGTGAGACACTGATATTCTATCTTGCTGTATGAATGAAATATAGAACTACCACCAAAACAATATAAAGATATTTCATTCAAGCCATTATTTCCATTAAGAGTACACGCTGATCTACCACTACATGTTTGTTGTAATACTGATAGAGGAGTTTGGTTGTAAGGTGTAACACAATCTCCAGTCTGTTCACTACAACATGTTGTATCAGCACAGCTAGATACACCACTAACAGCACATCCTCGTCTATATCCAAACGTTACATTAGTTATTGATATAACCAATGGTTCTATACAGATCAGTTTATGTTCAGTACATCCTCCTATACCTGGTGCACCATAACAAGCTGTACTAACTTCAGCCCTTGTTTCTCCTGTAAAATGGACAATATGTGTTATTGACAAAATATTACTTGGTCATTACAGACCAGTCTATATTGAGTACAGCATAACAAACTGTACTGTTTTTATAATATAAACATCATAATCGTGAATAGTGCATTGCCTTCAATAATATATTTACTCTAATAAGTTTCGTATCTTGTATCGCATGTATAAAGCAAGTGTAGTAATCTTTATTTGATCGAGAGAGTATTTATTATGAACATATAATACATCTTATCAACATCGATACCTGTCTCGCTGAATACCAGTAGAAGATACCAACACCACAATAAACCATTGATAAACATCTTCATATACCATTTACACATTCATTGAACATTGTGGACTATAACTGTATTCTTGCCATTTGACCTTGAATATTGCAGGTAAACAATAAAAGAATTGCCTCATCCCTTCTATTTAATTTTAGAGGTGTTTTCAAACTACGTTAATGTGGCTTCTTTTATCCTTGTATGTCAAAGATATATTTTTATGCATTATTATTCAAGAGTTGATCACGTGTGCTATATTAGTTTACCAACATATACTGGAAACTGAATATATTACAATTACTTTATTCTGAGCGAAATAATGAATGTTTGAGTGTTTCACAAGAAATTGCCTGAAATGGCTGGATTGCCAATTACCATGCCACGATATCAAATGAAATCTCGCTTTTCAGTGGGTTTTTGTATTTGGTGTCTCCGTGAGTATCGTCCATATTGTCGTTGGTGGGTGTGGTAAAATCCACCCAATACCTTAGGCATCCAATGATCTAGAGAGTTGACTATTGTCATCTGAATAAAGGTCTAAATGATAAGTTATATAACAATAGAAGCCAGGGTATAATGCATCTTTCTTAGTGCGTGATATTTACCGTGTAACACTATTAGTATATAGCTGAAGACCATTCTAGTAAATATGGGTTTTAATTACATTGGGAATAGGAACAGGAACATAACATAACACGGCACATCACTATATTAAGTCAACCATTCCGCCCATATGCCAAGACAGCGACTGGACTCGAGTGCGCCTATACGTTTGTATCAGCTCGTCTTAGCTTGTCTCCGTTCGTCTCTGCTCTGCTAACCATGTCTCCTTTCTTCTACATAAAACACAAGTTCGTATATACCTTGAAACAAGTGAGAAAATGGATACTAACATCTTATAAGGAACTGTGACTAAACACACAAGGTCATCATTATATATATAGTTTTATATACCACAGGTTACCGTATAGCTGACTGTGATTTCAATTTTATAAACAACATTGCCAATAACATGTGGGATTTATTAAAACATATATTATGCAAGAGCTAACTCTGCCTATTGCAAGTCTTTATTTAGGCTTCAGATATTATAGAAATTATTAATTAGACCTTTATTTACACAACAAGCTCAAAATCCGTAGATCCACGGATGGCTTGGATTCGGCTTGGATTTAAACAGTCGTCCATTTAAAATTAAATCAATACATGGCGGACCAAGCTAACGTTTACCGTTAGTCGCTGATGTCACTATCGGAAATGGGTGATGAAAGGCCTGCCAAGCGAGGCTACCATAGCCATTGGGCATGTTACTTGATAATTGAGAATATGTGGGTGGAGTTATCGTCTGTCAATCAAACGATCGCCAATTCTCATAGACGGTACAGACACAATTAATGCCTATTTCTAGTCCAAATTTCCAACAGTGACAATTCCGTTCAGAACAAAGTAATTTAACTGAAATTTTCAACATATTTTATCATGTATTTATTATAGCAAGAATGGCCAACTCTTTATAAAACTATTAACTAATGTATCTTTAAGTCTGGAACAAAAACTCACGAAATAATATCAAAAACAGGTGGGGTTCAATGGGATTAGTGCATCTAAATAAACAACACTATTTAATATCTAATCTTAATATGATACAACCGCCACTGACAAATTAAAGTATGAAACATGCACTGATTTGAGCTTAAAATGGTGAACAATACTTAAACCAAATCGGGTAATCCATGCGTATATTTGTCTAGCTCGAAATGAAATGAAATGAAATGGGGTTTAACGCCCTACTGTTTTGCTCCGAACTGGGCTAATGAAGACGGGCATACGCCATACAGTGTGCTAGGAGAATTTTGCCCGGACAGCGGCACTACTTCCTACTCTTATATCGAATTCCAACTGTCAAGGGATCTTTTACGTGCACGCCAATGTGTACACGGGGCCTCAGTTTTTCGTATCATCCGAATGACTAGACAGCTGTCCTTGTCAAGCCCTCCGTCCTGCATCACTGACAAGGGGGAACCACGCGGGAAAATCTGAATGAACTTTCTCGACCAATGCAGGGATCGAACACCCGACCTTCAGGCTAGCGAGCCAGCGTCTTACCCGCTTAGCCACCGTGATCCCCTGTCTAGCTCGAACATACAAGATTTACGAAGGTCAACAACATGGGTGCTTCATTTTAGACGAAGCAGAAAAGGGCCAATGATTATGAACGGACAAATATCCGTACCATAACATATTTACCTCCCAACAAATATCATTATGCCGCATTGTTATAATTACTTCGTATAAGTCTGTGGATTTAGACTTACAAGCATTGTATTCGCTACGTCATTCGAATTGACGTATTGTCAAAAACGCTTAATAAAAAACAAATGTGTATACATGTCTATTGACAACAATCATAACCCTTTATTGTATTTTTGTGGATTAATCTTAAACATAATCAACAAAATGTTAACCATTAGATTTCGTTAAACAGTGAATACGGAAATAGCTCATATCAATATTGAATTTTGTGGGTATGGAAAACAAATGTTGAAATAATAAAGTATCAAGTGTGAAGTGTTAATAGTTTGTAATCGTTTATTTAACATAACCATTCTAATAATATTTTTGACAGGTCGTGCTTAACATTGAAGTAACCGATATCTAAAACTGCTCTTCTTTATTGTTAATTGTCCTGACACCAACGTCACACTTATTTGTAGTGGACCTGGCTGACAGTTGTTCCTAAACTTGCGGACAAAAGTGGCACTATGCCTAACGGAGGCACCATCATGTCCGATGAACGGAATGGGAATTCTTAAGTTGCACATCCGCTGGGATTAGGGGCTGTACGCCCCCGAAATCGCGGAAAAAGTGGAATTAATTCAAACTCTTGCGAACAAAGTTAGTCTTTGCTACATATGTTCACGTTGCTAAGGCAAACTTGAAAAAATATCCTGGCTTCAGAACGCCCCCTAGTGACCCGAGTACGTAGGTTTATTTCAAAATATGACGGACAGCTTTGATTCCTTTTTCAGCTGATAGGGTATGGTCCCAAAGTAAATAAACCACAACTCCAGAACAAATAATCCCCTGGGTTTCTATTCCAGAACGTGTTCCAAGGTGAACACATCACAAAATCCAGGTGGAACTAGTAGAAGACTGATTTGTTTCAAGTATGGCGTAAAACATTCTTCTTTCGTGAGAATGGTGCCCTCCAGAAGAGAATATCATCTGGTTTCTGTACTTCAGAACGCTCCCCCCCCCCAGTGACCTCAATAGACATGTTTATTTCAAATGTTACAGACAACGTTGATTCCTGTTTCAGCTGATAGGGTATGGTCCCAAGGAAAATAACACAGCACTTCAGAACAAAAAATCCCCTGGGTTCCTATTCCAGAACGGGTTCCAAGCTGAACACATCACGAAATCCTGTTAGAAGACTGATTTGTTTCAAGTATGGCGGATAAAATTCTGCGTTGGTGAGCATGGTGCCACAATTGACCTATAAAAAAGTACCCCTCAGAAGAGATTATCTCCTGGTTTCTGCACTTCAGAACACCCCCTAGTGACCCGATAGACATGTTTATTTCAAATATGACCGACAACTTTAATTCCTTTTTCATCTGATAGGGTATGGTCCTAAAGTAATTATAACACAAAGATAATTGCTACGATAGATGCGTAACGAAGATTTCAAGAAATGGGAAAGTGAAAAAAGGAAAACACGAGTTATTCTTCTATAAAACTGACAGAAGGGGGGGGGGGGTAAACGCCCACTCGATAAAAACTAGATCATTTCGGGATTAACATATGACATAATTTTATTTCGATAATTCGCTTGCGCGTAGGGGTCTTTAAACCGTGTGATGTAACAGGAGGACCCGGATAAAACCCATGGGTGACCCTACAGTCACGCTTAAGATTCGAAACTACACCGCTTGACTCAATGACAGCCCCCCACCCCCTATTTACATTAAATTTTACATAAACCAAATTATTGTCACCCAATAAACAGGTTTTAAATATGTTTAGTCTTACCTATAGCGCACCTGACAATACATTCAATATCCAACAATACATTCATATAAAGTCTTTACATTTGTATCATCACTTTGTTGACACAGAACAAAACACTTACACTCAATGTTCAGTAGTAGATTACATTAGCAAGGAATATCACATTAGCATTAATTCTCAGTGGTACATACACATAAACACTTTACACGACATGTGCACATACCTTACATGCGTGTTTAGCAGTTGAAACACATAAATCATTAATCGATACTATCTGAAACTTGATGTATGTCTTACAAATCATAATGTATTAAAGACAGTGGTATTACCTTGATATAATAAACTGGTCTATATATGAAAAGGTTATCCCTGAATATATGGTTGGTATTTAACATCCTGGTTCACAACATAAACCCTATTATTCACAATCACATGACTTGACAATGAATACAACATACTAGACACACTCGATGACTTTATTACCGTAACAAATCACAAGCATAACGTACTCTAGGAGACATTTCAATTACACGACAAAAATAACTTTTAGAACTGGTTTAGAGCAGATTTCACC